CCTCACCCCTGAGGGAGGTGTCTCTGGATGTAACAGACCAGCCCCTTGGAAATGTCCAGGTTACAGTAGGAAGAGCCCACTGTTGTCAGGACGACGGCCAGCCAGCTGGTGGGGCTGCCAGGGTACACGCCCCTGAGGATGCCATTCTGTGGGGCAGAAACAGGGCATGGGAGCACGTGTCAGGTCCTGGCTTTTGCCTGGAAGGCTTTCTCCTTTGTTCCCCTACTGTGTCCTTACTCCTGTCTTCCCCTCCTCCTCAGCCCCACACCTGCAGCCCCCCACTGCTCAGTCCCCACGGCCACTTCTTCACACCTGTCTCCTCCCCTCAGCCAGCCCTCTGGTCTCTGCACCACTAGAGCCTGTTCCCCGGCAGAACTGCCAGCCAAGGTGGAGACGGAGCACCTGCACAATGGAGCAGCTCACGACACCTGGCCTCTGCCTCCAGAAGGCTCTATTCTGCTGCACCTGCCGGCAGGAAGAGGCCAGGATAGCCAGTTGCGCCCACCTTGATTCGAATCAGGCGTTTCTTCCAGGAGTTGAGCCCAGACACATAGATGTGTTTCAGGGCCTCCCTACTGAGCCGAAAATCAACCCCATCTGGGGTCACGGTAAACTGGAAGGCCACAGCCTGATGCGCTTCCGCCATCCTGGTGGTTGGCCGGCACCTGGGAGGGGGGCGGAAGGGTGTTCTGGCGGGCTCAGGCCTACCCCACCCCCATCGAGGCCCTATCTGCGGCCCGCCCCCGCCCCCTCCCTGTTAGCAGCAGCCCCGCCAGCGCCCCAGGCCCGCCGCCACCCAGACCCCAGCCCGGCCAACGGCCGCAAACCCTTGCGCCCGCGTTCAGGGCAGGACCCGCCACAGCGGTGCAGGGCTCAGGTGGGGGGTGGGTTCAAGGCCTTGAAAACTTCAGGATCCCGGAGGGCAGTGAAGGGCGGCGTCGGGAGGTGCCCCAGGAAGCCTTGTGGTCCGGAGCGAGGCGCGTTCGGGTGCCCCCAGCCCTGACCGCGTGGGGCCTCGTGCGCCCTCGCCCACGCACAGTGCTCTGAGTCCGGCGGGGCCCTGTGTTGTTCCCCACTCCACTCACAGCACAGCTCGGGCTCACTCCTGTCTGCGTGTGGGGCCAGTCACTCTGGCCCGTGTCCCCACGTCCTTCAGGCTGGCCACCCCCGCCCCGCCCTCACCAGGAACCTGACACCAACTCCCAAATTTGGGCTGAGAAAACAGAAGCGGGGGCCACCAGACTCCGCTCCCCTCCCTAGCGGAACTCAGGGTCGGGGCGGGGGCGGAGGGCCAGGCTTCCGCAAGGGGAAGACTGCTCCAAGGTCTGGGAACCTGGGGTGGGGGTGGGGTAAAGGGTCTCACGTGAGGATGGTGGCATTAGAGCTAAAAATAGTCGAATGTAGGGAAAAGGTCATCTGTGTCAGCTGTGCGGCTGGTCCCCTGATCTCCAGAGCGCAGGGCTGGGCAGCCCCACCCAGGGCATTCTTTGCACCCTCAGTTGCTCCCCAGTCCCCTACGCAGTTCCTTGAGCATTTGTCACTTCCAAGCTGGATCCAGGAAGGGCAGAGGGGAGGGGCCTCCCACTGGCAGGGCGGACCCTTAACTTTCAAACCCACAGCACTGAAAGCCACGCTTTTCAGGAGGGGAAACTGAGGCTCAGAGCAGTGGTTACTCTGTCAATTTGAGTCTTCAGCTGGTACTTTCTGCTGGACTGAGCAGGACTAGGATAGGATGTGAAGGAAGCTTGTTTATTGTTTCAAGGTGCACAGTTCAGGGGTTCCTGCCCGCGGGGACCTGCTCAAACTGGGGGAGAGGTCAGCCACCTCAACCCGTCCCCCAGGGGGCTCAGCCCAGTCGCAGGGCCTCCTGCTCTTGGCCCCTCCCTCCAAGGTCCTGCCCTGGAGGCTCAGGGAACGTCCAAGGAGCTGGGGGTGGAGAGTCAGGATGGGGGGTGGAGGCTGGTCAGCTGCCCCTTCTGCTGGAAGTACAACTGGAACCGAGACTGGGCGTACTCCTGGGGAGGAGACCACCCCACACACTGGTGAGCAGGGCCGGGACGAGCACCCACAGCCCCCCAGTGTGCCCACAGCATCCCAGGACTGCCCAGAGCTCCTGGAGGCCCAGAGGCCCCTGCTGCTCCCCCGGCCCCACCCACCTCATCACCTGGGTTACTCACCAGGTAACCGAATTCTATGGTGGACATGGATGCCTGCAGGGTGGACCAGAGACCCCAAAAGAAATGGGATGCCAGAGCGTACCTGAGGGTGGGGAGAGCGGGGGGATGGGGGCACATCTGGCCTTGCCTACGTCCCGGAACTCCAACTTCTCCCCCACCACCCTAACCCACACCCTGCGCCCACTCCTCTGCCAGTCTCGACAGGACCCTTGTGCTCCCCAACCCCACTCAGCACTGGCACTGGCCTGCTTCTTGCCCTGCCCCCACCCCCTGCCGCCCGGCTCTACTCTGCCACCCAGTGAACCTCACCGATTAGCCTCCACCAGCAAATCTTCTTCCAGTTTCTTCTGCTCCTCTTGGGAGACAGTCTCACCTTTCTTTACCTCTGCCAGATAATGGCGAATGAAATGGAGCTGGGACCAACAGACCCGAGTCAGGAAAGGGGGAGAATGGAGCACTTCCCAGTGAGCACCCTTTCTCACTGTTCGGTCCTGGCTCTGCCTTCCTCCCTGCTCACACGCCTCCGGCCCCCATACCTGCTGTCCCCGGGTGGGGTAGTCTGCGGGTTGTGCTTTGTAGAAAGGCCACTCCTCGTGCGTGTAATCATAAACCCACTCACAAAAATGGTTCCCGATGTCAAAGCCCCTGGGGGAATAAGGCGGACACTCAGTTCCCAAGTCCCCTGGGCGGCTGGGAGGCAGAGATGGAGGCCTGGTCTGCTTCCCAGGGCGGGGGCCACGGGCCTCACCTGTAGTTGTAGCTGCTGTACTCAAAGTCGACCAACATGAGGCTGTCAGCGTTTTCTGGCTCTGAGAGCAGCAAGATGTTCCCTGTGGGGGTGCAGTGTGTTCTGGTCACCCAGGGCCCCCCGGTCCCTTCGCCTTAGGTTGGAAGGCTCACACGACTTCTCCTACCTTCCTGGATGTCGTTGTGGCAGAAGACCACTGGCGACGGGGTAGAGTCCAGCAACTTCCTGCAAGGGACAGGCCATGCGCCTGAGCAGGAGTGCCAGAGGAGGGCCAGAGCCACCCTCGTGGGCCCTCAGCAGGCCCTGGGGAGGGTGCTGTGGGCTCCCAGCTGCGCCTCCTGTGCTCTTGCACCCTCTGCCCATACTGTCCTGCCTGTCCTCACCTGAGGGTGCCCATCTCCTCCTTGAGGCTGTACATCTCCAGCAGATTCACCTGGGGGCGGCCAGTGCGGGGCAGGTCCAGGATCTGCTTTAGGTACCTGAGGTCCAAAGAAGAGGATGCACATGCTCTGTGCCCCACTCTCCCTCTCCACCCCTGGGCCGGGCTGTCCCTGCTGTTCTCCTGTCACTGCTCTGCCTGTTTGGCGGACGTTTGCAAACCTGTTCTGTGAAAGATGGTGCTAGACCCCGGGGTGCCTCAGCCACTCGACCCACTGCCGCAGTCGGGGGTACGGAGCCCTGCAGAGGCCCCAACTCGCCTCTCCATGGTCCCAAACAGCCAGCGGGGCTCCTTGGTGAAGGGCATCTCCATGCCGTGGAACCGGGCCATCTTCGTGGCGATGGCTGCCGACAACACCGGCTCTCGAAGGTCTCCCGTTTTCAGTGGCCGGCTCTGCACCCAGGAACCTCTCAGAGTGGTGAGTGGGCTGGGGCAGGAGCGGGGAGGGATGGGGTCGTGGGGAGAGGTCGGGGTCTCGGGTCAGGGAGTGAGGGCTGACCCTGGGGATGGGTCGGGGGGAGGGGCTGGGGAAGGAGGTGCCTCCTACTGGGATGTACTGTTCCAGGCGGCCCTCTGGAAAGACTCCATAGAGCTGGGGCCCCAGGGACCTCTCCGCAAGGATGGCGAACATCACACTTTCCAGGACCAAGGAGTCCACGCCCTGAGGGATGACAACAAGGGGCAGTAGTCACGCACAAAGCAGCAAGGATGCGCAGAGGGTCTGCTTCCTGCTCCTGGCACCGCTGGGGCTCCTTCTGCCAAGGGGAAGCTCCACAACGGAGGCTGCAGCATGAAACGGGCACGCCCCTCAGCCCCTGAGCCTCGGCGCCTCATCCTCGGCGGGGCTGTACCACCCGCCAGGCTTCGGCGGGAAGCCCTCACTGCGTCCTCACCTGCAGGATGGCCCCATACAGCCGCAGCAGCACCTCCCGGGGCTCCTCGCCAACGCTGGGCAGATGGTCCGGCAGCGCGCAGCGGAAGAGCAGGTTGCTGAGACCCCCGCTGCGGAGCACACCGGGGTCTCAGTCTGCCGCGGGGTCCCCACCCCGGACTGTCCTTCCCGTCCCGCACGTCGGAGGGGATGACCCCTGACTTCCCACCTCACGGGGTCAACCCTCAGCTCCTCCGGCCGGACTCGGCGCCAGGCACCACCTAGGTACTCCCGGCACCACTGGTAGGCTCGGCGCTCGGCCTCACGGGACTGCGACGAGCCGCGCCGCCGGCTCGGGATCGCGTCGGGGCACTTAGACTGCCGCAAGCTGTCCTGGGCCAGGCGGCCGCCGACAGTCCCACCCCTGACCACATCAGTGCCTTCCGCCGCCATGCCTCGGGCTCTCCGGGGCCCAACGCCCAGCGCGCTCAGCCCACTTCGGGCTTGCGCGGCTGCGCCCGGCTGTACTTCCGGCCCGCCTGCGCTACTCCGGTCGGACTCGGGTCTCTCCGGCTGTGTCCGTCTCTTTACTGCGCCACTCGGCCCCGTCCGCGACCCTGGCCCGGAGCCCTGCCGAGGGTCGAATGCTGCGCGTCTCCACTTTGCCCCGCCCCTGCTCCCTCGCCCTGTGGGCGGGGTCGCTGGAAAGGCCGGAAGTGGCGTGCGCCAATCAGAAGCGTCGTGAGCGTCAGGGCGGGCTGCCAACGGCGGGTCTGGCTGGCCAGTCACGTGGGCGGAGGTGTGCGTCTCGGGAGCGCGCTGTCCCGGGCGCCCGGGGTGCCGCGGCAGGTTTGCTCTAAGGGTAGGTTCGGCGGGGAAGTCAGGCGGTCTCCGGGTGCGGAGCGGACGGGGCCATGCGGGCGGTGGTGGCGGTGGCGGCCCCTCATGGGGGCAGCCGGCAGGAAGAGAGCCCTCGTGTGAGTGCGAGTGCGGCCCGTCCCGAACGTGGGTCACACTTGGGGGGAGGCGGAGAGTGCGTGTAGGTGCTGTATAAACACTGGACGTGAATGAAACATTGGGACCCTTGGGACAACTCCAATGGCGTCACGTGTCTTAAATTCCCAATCACCGCTGGGCCCCATGTCGGAGGAAGCGCACCTCCGAGAGGAGGTGCTTGTACTGCTTGAAACTACGCCTCTTGTCTCCAGATCTAGAATCAGGTACAAAATCAGAACCAGCTACAAAATCAAACCCAGAGGGACAGGCTCGCACCTGGAGCAGACACCTAGGTCTGCGTCACGTCCCCTTGCCCCCTTGGCCTCCCGTGCTGTCCCCGGCTTCAGAGGCAGCCCCAGGGAGCAGTGACAGGCCTGTTGGACCCTGGGGTTTTGGGGCGGGGTGGGGTGGGGGGGTGGTGTGATTTGAATAACCAGAAAGAAATCAAGAGCTGGTGATCAGAAGGCGAAGGTCAGTTGCTACTGTGGAAAACCAGGATAAACCTTGCCCTGTTTGAATCTGAGCCAGGCCTGAGGCCTGGAGTTCACTGGGTGAAAGAGAGTCCTGCGATGTCACCATAAGTATATTAAAAAATACTCCTCCTCAGTTCTTCCCCAGAGGGACCTAGAGCCACTTAAAGTAACTACTTAAAGTGATCTGCTCTGGAAAAAGGACTCTCCAGACCTTTCAGGGGCTGTTAGGCACAGGATCTGAGCTGACCTGGTGTGGGGTACCTGGAGCATGGGGAGCCACTGGTTCTGGGACAAGATGAGAAGTGGAATCCTGGTGCAAGCCCTGCAGGTGCTTCTCTGGCCCCGGTGCACTCTTGGGTGGGCGACTGTGCCCGCGCAGGCACAGCTGCACAGGGATCCCTGGCCTGTTCCTAAGAACCATGCTAACAATAGCACAGGGGCAGCCCTTGGAACTCCCCACCGCACTCACCCTCTCCAGGACCGTGGATCAGAAGTGATGCTGCTTCCCAGGTGGGATTGCAGAGGTGGTGTCTCTCTGATACATAAAGTGGTGGTCCCCAGAACACCGCCTTCCATTCACCTGGACGACCCCTGCAAAAATCCAGAGGCATTCAAGTGAATGGAACAAGATCAGTGCCCGCTGTAGAGATGTGAATGAAGAAGCAGTGGTTCATACAATGGAATATAATGCAACCTTTAAAAAGAACAAGGTAGATCTACAAGCCCAGAAAGAATAGCCAGGGTATATTACTGTCTTGAGAGAATGAATTGTGGACAAATGTGTATGGGAAAATCTTGTTTTTTATGAGAAAAATGCCTGTGTGTGTCTGTGTAAATATATAGGTATAAAGAAGAATGTAGTGGAAAAATCAGAGTACAATTCCTTTCCATTTTTATTTTCTTAGAAATAACTTTCCCACTTTTCAATCTCATTGTTGGAAAAATAAAAATTCAGAGCACATGGCTAATTGGATATAATGCTTTTTAGGTCATATATTCCTTATACTTTTCATGTAAGCTTTTAGCCTGTCACTCCTTAGATGGAGTCTGGAATCACTGAGAGTATTTGGGAGTCTGGAACTCACACGTTTATTGAGAAAGGGAAGGAAAACGAATGTTCCAGCGACAGCTGGACAGATCACAACTTTGGGGAAAATTAAGGCAGAGGTAGAGGGGTTAATATGCCACAATTCAAAGATGCATTCATTCATTCATTTAGTTCAGCGATTTTCAAGTGGTGTGCCACAAGAATTTTTAAAACATGCAGTACCCGACTATGTAGTCAGGGGCCCTGACCTCTTTTCCCTTAGATTGTCAAATAAAAAAATGACAACAGCCAACACAACAATAGCTAACAGATGTGAGTGAACCAAAATTAAACTTACTTTTTGGTCATATCAGCAAAAAATATATATTTTTGGTTTGCTACAAAATTTTAGTGATTACTTTGTGTGTGCCATGACATGAAAAAGGTTGAAAATCATGGATTTAATCAGCAATTTTTAATTTAGTGTCTGTTGTACTTAATAGTATGGTGAAAATTCTTTTCAATCTCAGTAGTAAAGAATACATTTCCAAAAGCAGTTCATGTTTATATGGGAAGGGTAGACAAACACATTCGTTGTCTTGCTTGTGGCTGTTTTAACTCTCCTGCTCTCCGTCACAGTACAGAGACTTTGATCATCCAGACATCACATCATGTGATGACATGCTAACTGGACATGGTGCAGAAGGAAGTGACCAGTGTGCTGTCCCTGGTAAGACAATGCTCATCAATGCACGTCAGATAAGCCCTCAGAAGTTCTGGAGTCTGCCCTGGCTGGTGTGGCTCAGTGGATTGAGTGCCAGCCTGCGAACCGAAAGGTCGCTGGTTCGATTGCCAGTCAGGGCACATGCCTGGGTTGCAGTTGGGAGCCTGTGGTAGGCAACTAATCACACATCAATGTTTCTCTCCCTTTCTCCCTCTTTTTCCCTCTCTCTAAAAATAAATCAATGAAGTTCTATTCCCAGTCAGGGTACATGCCTGGGTTGCAGGCCATGGCCCCCAGCAACTGCACATTGATGTTTCTCTCTCTTTCTCCATCCCTTCCCCCTCTAAAAATAAATAAATAAAATCTTTAAAAAAGTAAATTTAAAAAATGAATAAAAATTAAAATAAATCAATAAAATCTTAAGACGAAGGAGTTCTGGAGTCTGTCAGCAGTAAAGTCTTCAGGGGTGCAGTGCTGTGGGGCAAACCAGGTCGTCACCTCCAAGATAAGAGCAAGTTACTGCACCTTGCATCTCTGTCATGGAGAAGGGGGGCATGGCTCTTGATGGACGTCTGGATTTTGGAATCAACATGCACCACACTTGGGGTGGGAATACTGTGGTGACCCATTTATTGGATGACTTGGAAGACTGCCAGTTTTGAATGGGACCCAGAGCAAAGGGGTATGTTGAAGGTGGAGATTGGAGGATGGGTCCCCCCCCCCCACTTGGCAGAACCCGTGGGTTACAGTCGGGCTCATTTGTGCTAGATGAGGGCCTGAGTGGCTGCTCTGGCAGGACCCACCAGGAGGTTTGTGATGCACGGCCCTAGGGGTCAGAAGCACGGCCACGCCTGGTGCAGTGCAGGGCTACTCACCAACTAAAAGCAGCTTCTGGCAGACTGCTGGGCCCGGGCAGAGACTAAGTGCCGGACTACGGGACATCCAGCGACCATGTGATCAAATCTGCCTGTTCTGAGCTAGATACTGACCCACCACCAAGCCAATAGGTTAGACAGGCTCAGTAGCAGTTCTCTGCATGGTGAGAAACAGCTGGACCCAAGCTTGTCCAGAGGGCCGTTTACAGGAAGGAATCCTAAGGTCTAGTTCACAGACGGGTTAACCTGGTGAATTGATATGAGCTGAAAATGAACCACTGCTGCACTGAAGTCCCCTTCAAGGTGGGGTGGCTCTAAAAAAACAGTAATGAGGGACGTCCTCCAGGCAGAGCTTCAAGCAGCACACCTGGATGTCCACCTCGTAGGGTGGGAGTGTAGACAGAGTAGGGGTGGGCTAAGGGAGGAATGCACATGGCAGATGTGTCATGACGGATGTCTTGCTGCTGTTGGTCAGGGAGTTCCTGACCAACAGGGAAGAGCAAGAGACAATATTGGAGATGAGGAGGGCTGGGGAGGAAGGACCTGTGGGGGTGCTCACGAGTGCCCGTGTCTTTGTGCCTCATGTTGAGGGCACTGCAGAGGGTCACTCAACAACGAAGCAGATAGACATCAGGCAGCTTCCATCCTTGGCACCCCTGTGCTTGTGCAGTGGGCCTGAGAACGGAGTTGCGGGGTGGACAGGTGCTGGGTATGTCCACCAAACAGGCTCTCTTATCAAGGCTGATGGAGTGACCCCTGCTGCTGAATGGCCTGTTAGCAGCCAAGCTCAGCGTTGAGCTCCTGATGTGGTACCATCCCTAGACAACCCGGTGACCAGAAGTCCACAGCAGATCCTTCCCACCCAGGGATGGACACCTCTGGGTGTGGGTTTGCCTCCCCTCTCCGCAGTGTCTCAGAGGAGCATCACTCTGCAGGACCTGGGACAATGCACGCTAAGCCAACATGGGATCGTGTACGACATTAGCTCATTTTAAGGTGAAAGGGATGCACGTATGGGTTGCCACTGGATACAGTGCTTCTTTAATTTCCAGTGTTGTCTACAGACAACCAGTCTGATAGGAAGATGGAATGACCTCTTAAACACTTAGCTAATGTTCCAGCTCTCGCCACTGGCGTCTGGCCACTGGTGCAGGGGCCAGGGGGCCCTGGAGTGACCAGACCCATGCATAAGCCTGTGCCTGGGGCTCACACATGCTGTCTCAGGTGGTCCTTGTGGGGGTCAGTGTCCAGAGGAAGAAACAGCTCTATGGGATTAAGTAACTTGTTCATGTTGAGAAACTTGATGGCCAGGTAAAGATGGCTACCACAGCTTCTCAGGCCATGAGGCTGGTGACTTTCTCTGTGCTTTGGGGACGCATGGAAGACTTCACAGATACAATGGGAGGTGGAGCCCCCACTTCAGGACCTTTGCCTTCCTGGGGCTGAACTGTCAGATGAAAGGAGGGGAGGGGAGAGGAGGGTGAATCTGAGATGGAATTTAGGGGTGGAAGGCTTCAAGGCTGGTGCAGTCCCAGGTGGAGGTGAATCCTGAGGCCTGTAGGGGAGCGGTCACCAGAGTCTAAAGAGCCAAAGGCTGATCCGAAGTTAAGGGCCTGGCTGACCAGGGTGTTGGAGGGGTCATTTATGAGAATGTTCAAGTCACCGGCTTGATGGCGAGACTCAGGATCACAAGAAAATCTGGGAAGTTGGGGTCACATTCTGAATTCTGGGAAGAGATCTAGAGTTCTGTGGACTCTAGAGATCTAGAGTCAGGGAGTGGTTAACGTGTTAGACTCTTCAGAAATTGGGAGTGTCCTCAGTGGCCCTAAAACTGGAAAGCCAGCATGATGACAAGGACTTAATGCCCCAGACCTGCTAGGGCCGGTAAACTCGGCCATTCATTCCGTCATTCATTCCGACATCTGCTAGCACGTGCTCTGTGCCAGGCCCTGCAGCTGGCCGTGGAGGTCCAAGGTAGGTAGGTAGTGCCTCTGCCTTCACGCAGCTCTCAGTCATCGGGGTGGGGGGGTGGGGGTGGGGGGAACACACCGCTGGATGCCATTCTTAGAAAAACACTGCAGTCAGATGAAATGCAGACTGTGTTGGGGGCACAACCTGGTGTGATCTGCCCTGGCCGTTCCCTCTGGGCTGGCACGGTGGCCACTGGAGGATGGGCGGTGTTGCCCTTCCCAGCAGGCGAGGGCTCCTTCTGCCCTGGCCTCCGGGCAGTCACCTCTCTGGTTGTTCACCCTTCCCTCAGAAATACCTTTTCACAGAAATGATTTGGACAGAGAAATGTCAGGGCTCAAGAACTCCACTGAGGGGGAAAAAGGGAATGTTCACAGTTCCACTCTTGTTGGATCCCCCACTTCCTGCCTTAGCTAAATCTCCGGAAAGCCTGCCCACCCTGTTGTTATCAGCCGTCCTCCTGGCCCTGGTCGGCCTTCCCCCTCCCCCACGCCGGCCGACCCGCCTGAGCCCAGCTCCTGAGCTGGACTGCAGACATCGCTGGCCTCACACGGGTTCGTGTCCTGAATGGCGCCGGTCACAGCTGCGGCTGGAGGACATTCTCCATTGGAATGGACACAGCCTCCCGGCTGCAGCTTCACCCAGTGCCCACCAGGACCTCTGTCCAGCCTGCGTGGTCCGCACTATGTCCCAACAGTCCAGCTTTAGCCCCAGGCACCATCCTGATTGTGGTCCACTCCGCGTCCCACAGAGGTCAGCATCCTCAGCAGAGGTCCCTGTTCTTCCCCGGTCAGCACCCAAGGGCGGACAGCTCCCGCGGCCCCGGTCAGCACCCAGAGGCGGACAGCTCCTGAGGCCCGGGCGAGGCACGCCCAGAGCGGCCACAGCGCCTTGCGCCAGGCCCGGGACCCCAGCTCCTCCATTCTGGCGCCTTGAGACGTCGGTGCAGGTGCCGGGGCCGCCGTCCCCCACGAGCCCCTGCCCCCAAACCCCAGTTCCCTGCGCTCTGCGAGCCCAGGCCGCTGCCTTCCTGCCACCGGCCCGCGCAGGGTCCTCGTCGTGGGCCGCCCCCGGCCTGTCCCCGCGCGCGGACCGTCCTGGACTCCAACCCGATCCCCCATCTCCGCCAGTCCACTTCTCTCCTGCTCCCTGAAAACAAGCCGCGCGCCCGCTCCTTCCCGGACCGGGGCCTCTGGGCCCGACCAACGTCCCCCCCCCTCAATCGGCCTCCCCGCCCGCCCGCTGTCCCCTCCCCTGTCCCCTCCCCGGCCCCTCCCCCGTCCCCTCCCGGATCCTCGCCCCTCCCCCTCCCCCTGCGGCGTCCGCTCCGGCTGCCGCGGTGTCCTGCGGGCGGGCGAGGTGTGTGGCGGGCGGGGTGTCGCAGGGCGTGTCACGAGGTGAGGGCGCGAGCGCCGAGGGGACCCCGCGGCCGGCGCGCCCCGCCCCGCCGCGGCCGCTCCCGGGGAAGATGGCGGACCGCGCGCAGATGTTCGCCCTCTCCACCTTCCACTCGCTGTCGCCGCCCGGCTGCAGGTACGCGGCGCGCCCGCCCGCCGCCCCTTCCGCGGCCCCGCTCGGCCCCCTCCCCGGCCGCTCGCCGGCCGGCCTTCGCCCCGCGCCCCCCGGCCCGGCCCCGAGCCCCGAGCCCCGGCCCGCCTGGTCCCGAGGCCCGGACTCCTGACCGCCGGGCTCCCCGTTCCTGTCCTCCCCTCACCCCCCTACTCCAGCCCCAGCGGGCCCCCGCCCCCACCTCCCCCGCATTTCCCGCCGGGGTCCAGGGCCGCACCCCACCCGGCCAGCTGACCCTTCAAGGGTGGAGGTCCCGGCCCAGGCCCTGCGGGGGGCCCGCGGCCAGGACCTGAGCCCCGCTCTGCGTGCGGCCTGCCCCTCGGGCTTTGTGGGGCCTCGCTCGCCGGAGGCCTGGCGCCCAGGGGAAGGGGCTGCGGTGCGGAGAGGGCTGGGCCTCTGGGTGTAGGCCTGCCCTGGGCTGGGAAGGGGAGACAAACTGGCAGACGGGGCCCCAGAGGGGCTGACCCCTCCCTCTCCTGCTGCTGCTGCTGGAGCCTCGGCTCCCCTCCCCCGCTCGGCGCAGCCCGACTCCCCCGAGGCCCAAGCTGAGCTCCGGAGGGGCCTGGGGCGGAGCAGGGGAGGTGAACGGGAAGGAGGGCTGAACAGACCAGGGCCCCCTGCGGGCTGGCGGGGGCTCAGGTCCTGGGAAACATCCCCTGGAGAACGGAGCTTGGGTCTCACAGAGCCGGCAGAATGGGCATCTGGAAGTCACCGGCTGTGGAGACCCTGAGGCCTAGGAGCTGGGCCCACTAGGACCAGCTCCTGCACAGGGCCCTGGGGCTGCCGACTCTTTCCGGAGCCCTGCCCTTGCTGTCTGACCCGCTCTGCTCCCCAGGCCTCCCCAG